CCTCAAGCTGTGAGTATAAAATGGGTGAATGTTTGCATATTCTTTTTAGAACAAGAAGATTTTTCATTAATTTCTTGCTCTCTTTGTTGTCATTGGCATATACAATCAGATACTTTTACTCTGTTTGATGACAGTCTCTTCTTACTGACAGTTTTGACTGCAATAGAATTGATGTTAAATGATTATAACTATTTTTTCATCTTTAAACATCTAATGCAAAAACTGTCGCTAGATGAATTCAATTATGAGCTGATCATCTAGAAAGTGACTTCGTTATGACTTGGCGCAAATTTTTTCTTGACCAATAAATTTTAACTTCCGATTGCGACTGTAGATTTTAGTGCAAACCTCTACACATAATTTCGACTTTCATTGTTCAAAAATCAAATTTTTCGCGAAATTTGCTTAAATTAACCCTAGCTTAAAATATGTACATACATATTTAAAAAACACACCTGAAATGAAATAACTGAGACAAGAAATTTGAAGGAAAACAAGCCAGCTACCCATCAACTATTCTCGTACAACACCAGAAGAAACGCTGTGACATTCTTTTTTTTACAACAAAATGCCGAAAAACTCGTCTCTGTGACTCTATGAGGAAACCTGTCGGATGACCTTAATCGTTCAACTTGTTCGTCGAATACATTGCAAAGCATTGAATAAATTTATAGTAGAAAAGCTTGAAATATTTTTTTTCACTTTTATTCCCTCCCATCTGCAGATGTCTTCAGAAATTCCTATAGCAAACGCCATTCTCAGTATATGTATATGACATTCGTTTTTTAATCCATCATTCCTACTTAACATTCCTACTGGAATTGGGAGTTCCAATATTCCAGACATCCTCTAAGTCTGAAAGATGAAACCCTTCGTCATTTACCTACCACTTAGGCATTTTGCATACCCTCAAAGCAGAATTTTATTTCCGTAATGATGTACCTTTTATATAATTGTAATGATAGTATAACGTACTTACGGCAAGTAATATGAAGTCTTGAATAAAAAAAAAAAACAGGATCAAATTTTGAATAAGCATACAAACTTGTAGCAACCTACCACCAAATATTTCAACATTTTACTCCTTTTAGTCGGATCTATCCTTCAACCGACTGAAACTCAGTTCACAAAAAACAAATTTCATTGACACATACATTAAGTTCTTTTTTACAATATTGTACTAAAATGACTTATAACTTTCAGCAGATGCACCACAACGAAATATCATTGTACAGTAAAAAAAATGACCTATTTCGACCCCGATATGACAACAGAAAAATTTTCCTCAGGATTGCAAAAACCATGTTACTGGCTTCTTTTTTAAAAAATGAAATTTACGGAAAAGTGTAATGAAACACGTCTATCAAATTACACAGATAAACTTGCATGTAAACAATCTCTCGAATCTTTGTATGGAAAATTATATTAAATACTTAACATGTGCAGAATCAGCGAAAACAAACCCTTCCTGAAACTGTAGGATATTAATGGTGGAATTCTCAAACAGAAGTTCGAATTGAAAATTAAATCGGATTGGTAGTTTATATCGCTCTAGATCAAGAACCAAACATCGGTCAGGATTCAAAAGTTAAATTAGGCAAAGTATGGTAATGCAAAAAAAAAATGGAAGGTTTGGTTTAATCTAAACAGATCACATAGCAAATGACGAATCAATCAAAAGAATCAGGATATGCACATAATATGATAACGACTCTCAAACGAGGTACTCTGCGGGTTTCATGCAGCTTTACTATTGTCATATTATATAAAATGTACGGGGGAATAAATTCGGTACTCATTCGGATGTATCAAATTTACAGAAAAATGATTAATTTCACTTCTTATGCTCGACAATATTATTTGAGTCTTCGAAGAACATTACTAAAAATTCCATTTAAAGTGGAACCTAATTCAACAAAAACTTTTCAAACATCATAGAAAAAATATTCATATTAATAATACAACCGGAAATAGAGGCATATATCACAGAAAAAAGAATAGCATTCACAAAATTACGATGAACACATATCATGCCAATCACAAAGATAACATAGCTATGTCCTGACAAGTCCTAGCAGGTCATTTTTGAGCAAACGATGCAATCACACGTGATTAGGATAATTAGAAAAAAAAATATTAAGTGAAACAAAGTAGGAAAAGAGAAACAAAACTATGACGAGTATTTCATTAACTCATTATGATTCTATAGAACAAATCTCCGAATACCAAGATAACCTTCGAATTGAAAGGGAATGCAGCAACATTAATACTTGCTTTGGATGGTCAGTCTCTTATGGTAATTGATGCTTTTATCCTATCACAAGAAATATACTAGTATTAAAAGAGGTATATATTATATGAACGAAAATTAGCCCAGAAAAACAGGAATAATGACGAAAAGCATTATTGCTATTTGTCTATGCTGAACTTTTCGGATAGATTTAAAAACTGCATAACTAAATTTCGTTGAAATATTAAACATATCCAGAATAACCTAATCAAAGCACCATGTGTAATCAGTTTTTCATTCACAGATTCAACTTACTTGCAATCTTTTTTTTTCCGAAGTTTGCAATATTGCAGCCATACAAAAATAAAAACGGCCATTTAAATAATTTATTACTATTTGATCAGTCAGCAGATCGATGATTTCGATAATGCAGAGCAGTATGATGTTTTGATAAACCAAAATCAGTATGAAGAGACCGCTACCTCTAAAAAATAACTAACTAGATTTTTTCGAAAAATGCTAGCTAGACTTTATTTGAACTGCTTGCTTGCTGCTAATTCTTTCGAGCTGATATAGGAGTAGCAATGGATGATGCAGCAGCAGCAAGCGATGAAAATGATGATCTGCATGACTCCAATGAAGCTACTGAGCCCCTAAAATAAGCTATTTTAAAATTACCAAACTTGTTGAAGAATTAAAGCACAAATGCAAACATCGCCAGCATCTTCTAGTCCCCTTTTTACTTCCGTTCTCCTTGTTCCGTCATCACAGGGAAAAGGATTTCTAATGATCATTTCTATCATTTCTATGAATACATCTTTGGAAATAAGTCCAACCGCTTGGTTTTATTTCAGAATAAAAGATAAAATATTTAAGAAAAAGATCCAATACTGCACCTCGGAAAAATGTTAGGACCGAGAATGTTCTAGAATCGAAAAACGACAGTTTCTTATTTAACAAAAACTGCGAAAGCGGTGTATCTTTCGCCGTGATACACGTGCCAAAACATCACATTTTCAGCTATATGTTATAACACACTATACCGATATTGATCGTACAAATGGAAATAACCACGCTAGTAAATTGAAAAGCGAGTATCACAAAATAATCATCTAGCAATTATATCAAAATTTGTTGAAATCATTAATTTACCTAAAATCCAAGGAATCCAATAATTCGTGATAATACATAACTTTGCATTTATGACCAGACAAAGAAAAATCGAAGGACTGATTCTGTGCTGTCTCGAGATGACGCCACTGCAGGATATAATAACCCGCTTGGGGACAATAATGTGATCCTTGCATTGAATCGCCCTCCGTGAACTGTATAGGCTGTTCTTCTAGCCTGCAAACTTATGTTATCGAAAACAGCAATAACAAAAACATCTGAACTCTAAAATCTTTCTAAATTACTATCTAGCAAAACAAAAATAAAAACCTCTTTTAATCTGTTTTCTAAAGACAACTGCTGGTTAAATATGCAAAACAAATCAAAAACTCACTTCAAATTAACTCCGATAGTCAATTTCGGGTCGCAAAGCAAGGCAGAGTTCGCAGCAGTATTTCCGATAGAAGTAAGAACGGAAGGTGAATTCGGTGTAGTAGCCGCTTCTATTTGTTTTTCCGTATAATAAATTAAGAATTCACATTCACCCTAAAATATTAAATTTAAATATGCATATTGAACAACAATAAAACTAAGAGCTTTTGGTTGACTTCTCTTTCGATAGCACCTGACTTTATTCCACAAATCATTTTACGATTTTTTTATACTGGCCATCGACTGACACTATTAACCAAAACTAGCAATAATAAATGACTATAAAAGAAACCTTTAAAATATCGAAGTCCCATGTAAGAACGCACCCCTCAGCAGTCACTCTGATAATCACTTCATGTGGTATTCCCTTATAGATATTTGCTGACTGATAGGTTGATTTCAATACATCGTCTTCTATTACGGTCTGTAATCACATGTTATAAATGATTTTTTAAACGCAGATGAGATAGTTCACTTAGCAATTAAAATCGCTTCACTAACTTGCCAAATTAAACTTTGGTAAAAAAGTTTAAGTTAAAAAATCTCACTTCTTCCACCGGTTTGTACAAGCTCTTGGGAATATGACCACCTTCTGGCGCCATACATGAACATGTTCCACCCAAAAATTCTGGAATATATTGCTCCTCGATATATTTTCTAAGTTCACAGATGACTGGTTCACCCGCATTTATCATAAACTTCTTTCTTGTATTTTCATCAATAAATGGTGAGATCAGCGTCCACAGAACTGGAAATACACGTGGTGCTCGAGCTATCAAAACTAGTCCCATTGTTTCTGGATAATGTGCTTCCGCAACTTCAATTATACGTAATAAGGCCTGGATTCCTGGACGCCATAGGTGTCTCATGCTTAGACCTTCCAAATCAACCAGCAGTGTCCATGTACTGAAATTATTCCATTTCACTGGATTTTTTATATTTCACTTTAATCGAAAGTAATTTGAATATGCCTCCTTTCCACAACAAATGGAAGGCGAAATTTTTCTAGACTTCAACAAAACGAATTAGAAATAAAAGAAGCTCTGAAAAAAAACTCAAGAATCGTACTGAAAATTCGTATAATGTCAAAAAACAAGCAATGTTGGGTGGAACTGCAAAAAAGAACTAAAAAATGGGAAAAGGTAACCTTATAGGAGCACCAAGCATTTTTGTCGCCTTAGCCGTTTTAATAAGCCCTTGTTCGACTACTGATAATGTGAATTTCATAATCGTTTCCATACCACATGTGCGCAACAAGCCTTTCATATCGAGTTTGCCCAGACGCAGAACGAATACCGGTCTAAAAGTCACATGAAATTCGTTGGATAAATTAATGCGATTCCTCCTTGAGTTAATTTCAATTTTGCATACACAAGAAATTTTGTCGGTTTATTACTTTATTTTTATGATAAACGGTTAACTCTGCTTTAGTTCGCAGTAAACTACTAAAAACAGTTCACACTAAATATGAAAGGTAATGTCTTACCTGCCCTCTTTATCGTTATAGTGCCAACAACCAGGAAAAAACTGTTTAAAAATAGGCGGTGTTTCGAATTCCTGCAAAATTTTATCCACATTATGTTGTTTTCGCCATTTAACACTCTTCTGCACCATATCACTCGCTCGAGCTACATCGAAATCGCGCGCACGTAAAAAGCGTAGTAAATGAGCGTCATTCGGGAGTTTCCCCTATAAAGAATTAAATCAGCCAATAATCAGCCAAATTTTTAAGCCAATACTTTCAAGCCAGTAAAAAATTTTACATTACTTTCCGTCAAATGCTAATGAGTTTACAGCAAAAAAAAAGTTATTTATATGGATGCAGAGTGTGCATAAGCTGCAACTGCTCCACCGTATTGAATTGAAAAATCTGTTTCCAATGCAAAGAACTTTTTAATTTTAATTATCTTATTGAAATCAGATCTCCCCAACTTGGGACATAATATTGCAGAACACTTAATTCCATCTTGATGAATATCTACAAATTTTGTATGAAAGCAAACCTTAAGAGTATCCTGTAATCCATATTTCAGTTCACAAAGACGACTTTCTTCTAGAGTGCTGAGCTGCCCCAAGAAACGACGAATATATTCTGCTTCCAATCTTGCTTCAGCTATAACAAAATGTATACCACTTCGTGTTCCATCATTTCGATCGTAAACTGGTACCAAAAATAAACTGTCTCAATTGTCAATCAAATCTTAATGCTGATTCCTCGTTACGGGCTTCAGCGCAACATAAATCATTCATAATAGCTGGATGTGATAAAAAAATTCGCAGTCAAGAGACAACTAAGACAATGTTAAGTAGAAAAAGTGAAATAAACAAACAATAAATGCTATGGCAAAGTACACTATGATTCTATGAACAAGTCAAAATACCCGATTACACAAAAAATCAGTCTTGGAAGTTATAAAAATTCTACTTGTAGTCCAAACTGCAAGGAAATTACAAATATAGCACACAAGTGTACTTACGTTTAACACAAATTGAAGAAGCTAGTACTTAAAAACAAAACTAAATGAATTCCTGTTAAATCATCAATGAGCACAGATAATTGGGAAAGACATCAAGAAATTTACATTTAAGCATAAATTGTGGTTGAAATTAAATGACAAAGGTACTCATGCCCTTTCAATACTGAATCTGGTTGCACTGCAAATAGCGACTTGCACGTGAAAAAAGCATTTCTTCACTACACAATAAAATGAAGTGTGTCTTCAACACTTGATTACTACTATCCCTCTAGACAATGAGACACTGATAGATACAATAAAAATATATAGACGTTTTTTTACATTTCAAATTGCATAGGCTGACTATATAAAAGAACCCATTTAACACGCCTCATCATGCTTCTTCTCCTCCTTTCTTATTTTATTTCAAACTACAGCATAGGAAAAGGCAAAAATTGACAAAAAGCAACAGAGATGGTTACTGAAAAAAAAAATAGGTAAAACGCTATGTTGCTAAAAAAGCAGAAAAAAATCATTCCAATTTAAACCCACGACAAGTTTTATTCTGATCACAGTTCACTTAGAAAATATGCAAGAAAGCCAATCTAATTTTTTATTATCTTGTAAATAGAATTAGACATATATTTAGACCTATCTATTTATATTTATGCACAAAGTAATAAAAGAGAAATGAAAAGACACAGAAATCATTTCGCAAATTTTGTTAACAATTTCTTCTATTATTACTCATTAGTTGAAGTCGAAATTTAACACATTCTCCTAAATTGATAAAAAACCAAAACTTGACATTCGGAAAAATTGTTGAATCTGTATGCACAAAAGCATGAAATTTTTGGAACATAATCAATTTAAAAACCTTACAGTCATCAATGGAATTTCGAGGTGCAATTGATCTCCGAGGTAATAAACCAATGGATGATTTTCTGGCAAGAGAAAATTTTCGGCTATGAAAGGTACGCAGTCCCTCTCTTTCAGAGCCAATTTTATCCTTCTCTTTTTCTTCTTCATCGGTAGGCCGCGAAACATCAATAGCGGAATCAGCCGCTGATTCCGTTGCATCACTGTAGGGAGGAATAAACGTTACACCACTTTTGATTAGTTCGTTGATGAAATACTCCAGCACCTCTTTTCCCTGCAATATGAATTTCTGTAGGTTTCCATCTGTACTAGAAGTAAAACAAGAATCTCAAGTTTCTTTAATACACCAAGGATTTTTTCATGGAAAATACTCTTTCGGTTTTCAAAGGTGACACCTTCGCAAGGTTAGCTGCATATTGTTTCACTGCCAATTTCTCCACTGTAGATTCAAAACCAAAAAATGACTTAACATCCAGTGAGCCACTTTGTTCAAAACAAGTCCATTCATTATTTTCAGGATGAACCTATAAACGATTCCTTTACTGTATATATTTTCATAATTTCAATTCTTTTACAGCTCAAATTACAAAAAAAAGAACCTGTGGTCCATCATTTTAAAGCGTAAATTGAATACGAAAATTCATTTTTTGATTCAGTAATAATTCACTAGTAAGAAATTGACAATTACATCTGATAATCGAAAAACATGTTAGAAGAGCAATATAACAGGAACGTTGTAATAAATAGAGACAAAATGAAACATGTACGTAGTAAAAACAAGTTTCTTTGACATCGATTCTGGCCGCAAAAGAAATATTCTTTGCTTCAATGATAAGAGTACGCTTTCTGCGATTAAGCGAATTTTTTTGTGTAAAATAAACATAATCAACACCCGCTATCTGAAAAAAATTAATCATGAGATTTTGAAAGCTATAAATACAGTTAACTCAAAAGTGAATAAGAATCTTATTTTAATGAGAAATTCCAAGAATTACTTTTTTGACAAGATATGGCGCATCAATATTCAACTGACATTTGCGTTCAATTACTTCTTCGGCACCATCTTCCGAGTGATGTTCATAGGTAATTTCAGAGCCAACAAATATAGGAATTTGAGGACAAGTTGGAAAACGTTTTTCATATGCCTGAATGGATATTTAAGCATACCAATCTGTGCTCGAGCAAAACTGTATTCGAACAAAGCTGTGTTTATATCACAGAACTTTTCACAAACAATTCGGAAACATGTCGTACTTAGTAACGAGTAAAAACAATAACACAAAGATTAAAATAGAAGGGCAATGTTCCAAAAAAAAGATCCCAACATAACCACGAAAAGAAAAACTAACTGCCATCACAATTTCAAATGGATATTTGTATACACGAACCGGACTCTGATAAGTTTGCACCATTGTTTATTACCTGAAAATGATCCCACGTTGAACCAGAGCTGTTTCATTTGCACCTTCAATGTGTCAGTGTTACATTCAACTTTATATAGATAATGCAGTGATGCTATTCTAATAAGTAGATTGTAGGCAATCAGTGGAGACCGGAATAGATAAAAGAAACTTACAGAATTTATGCAAAAGTTCAACAAAGAAATTGGAACAATATCTTGAGAGAAAAATCTATTCATACAACAAAACAATTTTCATACAGACCGACAATACACCAAATCGCAACACGCTCCTAATAAGAATAAAAATTAACGAAATATTATAAGAAATTTGTGGGAACGTATTGTTATGAGACTTTCTGCTACTTCGCATTATTCGATATAGTGAGATTTACGCCTGATAATTTAATTACCAAAATAAACTGGGCTTTCCGCTTAGCTTTAACTGATAACTTCATCTTGATGTTTGCATTTTAATATGTTAATGATTCTAAATTTATCAAACATCGAAAAGTCAAATCTCAGTTGCTTCCATTAACCATTAACATATTATTGTGGAATATGGTTCAAATAAATCGAAAAGAATGAATTTAATCATACAATCTATTATATATTTACATTCATTTAAAATCTCATGCTCCATCATTAATCGTTTATTAATTTACCACGGTACAACAGAACCATCTCACCAAATGACAAAGGATACAATCTTTTAAAGAAATAAATTAACTCAGAAATGCATAGAAAACAACTTCATAAAAACATTTATAATCAAATGGAAGAGACAACGGATGAAGAACATAGAGAAAGGGTAACATGAAGGCGGTAGGGATGAATGCTATTTGGAATTCCTTTGAATGGAGCACGCCGTGTCAATGTTGTTTCAAAAAGACTTCAAAGTCCATTTCTGCACTTGTAAGGCACAAACGCTGTTACGCCCGTATTTTACAATCTGGAATGATTCCTTTCTCCTCTCCACTACACGCAACTTCAGAATATAACCGTGATTTTTTCATTTTTCGAATTTTAAATTACTTGTACAACTTTGAAATCTCTTGTTTGCTTTAAAAGCATTCATAAACATGCCGTAAAACAATATGCCATCGTAAGTGACGTTAGATCCAACATGAAAGATGTGCTGTCCAAAATTATGACAAGCAGTCACTGTACTCGTCAAATAACTCACTAAAACTTTAAAACCACAAAAAAAGAATAAGACTGGGCTTTTGCAAGCATCACAGAAAGGAAAGTTTAGTTTAGCAAGAAGAATGGATCAGCAGATTTCTTCACTATACGGATTATTTTAAAAGGACTAAACAAGACCTATGAAAATATGTTAAAATAACGAAGGAAATTGCAAACGTAAAGGATAACGTACGATATCTTAAAAACGCAATGAAAGGCAACAACGACTTTCATTAAACATTCATTGCATTCCAAAAAAAGATAAAAATAATTCCAACCGAATCACAATACAGAAAAAGCAAATGACTTCGGCACTTTAAAAAACTCTCCTATAAATAGAGAATAAGAAAAGTTAAATACGCAAATTTTCAGCTGATCGCATTCTAAAAAGAAAGTTATTGAAAAACGAAAGAAAAAACAAAAACTGTAGAGCAATGAAATTATTCAAAAACAGTTATATATGTGAAATGAATGTATTTTGAAACTGAAAATAATTCTCTCCTCGCAAAGATACGGATTGATTGTAACCTCCCATTTGCAGCGTCAACATTCTCGAATCCTTAAATACATCTCAGGAGCGCATTTATCCAACCGTTTCTTGTTATACCGAACATAAGTATGAGCAATGCGCCAATCAGAATTTAAATTCTCAAGAAATTTTAAGTTTTATCAACTCACTCTTGTCTATTTCCAAAAAGATTTTCCTAAAAGTTAACTCTGTTCATGCTTATATTATTCATATAACTCAGAATTTAAATTCTCAAGAAATTTTAAATTTTATCAACTCACTCCTGCCTATTTTCAAAAAGATCCTCCTAAAAGTTAACTCTATTCATCCTTATATTGTTCATCTATTTTTTTCCCTAGTAAGTGTTAACAGTATCTTTCGCACGCAGGGAGAACATGAACTCTTCGCTCCTTCCAAAATTAGGCTCTTAGTACTTTTTTTAACTTGAATATAAATAAAGAGGAAAACGTGAGCTTCTTTTCCTAAGGAAAAAATAGTATGTATAACACGGCGATAAATAAGCAATTGTAATTCGGTAGAAAAATCAAAACAAAGTTGTGAATACTTGCTTTGTAATCGAGCAAAATTTATGTCCAACAAACAGAAATAATGCAAAAAAAACAAAATTAGAATAAGTACAAAAATACTGAAATGCTGACATTTCAAGCATGAAAGACGGGAAGGCATAGCTTTCTGCTAATAAGTATTCTGCTTAATTCCAGATTTAAAACGAAGTGATCAAAAAAAATACATTACACTCTAATAACGATTACAGCAAACTACCCAATGTAAATATAATCATCGAGAATAGTAGGATTAGTTAAATTTCCAACACCCGAGTCACCCTAATGGGACCATGATGAAAAACTTGATCTCACTTAAGCTTTTTAGTGTTGAATAGATAGTAATGTAGCGGTGCTGTATTCAGGTAATCATGGTGGATGTATTATATGATAGGCGTCTTATAACTCGACCTTTAATAATTATAGGACATCGACAGATTAAAATTTGCTTCAACTTTGGCTAATACAAAAAATCTTTGTGTCCTAACGAAGCATATGCTAAGACACGTTTCAAATATAATATATAAAATTATGCTCCCCTTAATCAAATAACAATCTATACATTTATATCATACAGTGAAACAGGTGGTAATGAAACAGGTGGTAATAAAACTATACATCAGGAAAGAATATTAATCTGCTACTGACAGATAAGTAAAACTGAGAAAGAAAATGACAAAAGAGTTGCTTATGGACGTGTTTACGTCCGTAAGCAACTCGTATTTCACATGAAATAGAAAAACAGAAGGAAAGGAAAAAATGACAAACGTCCATTTAAGATGAAAAAGCTGGTGAGAATGTTGGAAAGCCTAGCATTATATCAATGACCGGTCTATACTTACCTACATTTGAATTTGTAACCGATACGTTTTCGGAAAGCGCACAACATGCGCGACACCATGAAAGATTGATGAGCTGCATAAAATAAATTACGGCTCGGACCGCAAAGTGACTGGGTTGTATGGATTGGTCTGGTATGGGGTTATTGGTGTAGAAATATGAGAAAACTTGGAAGGCTTGATTATTTATGGTGGTTGTGGTTAGTCTAAAAAGAACTATTTTCATGAGTTCTGTAGAATTTTCTTTTCTCTCCTATTCTGCGCTTCTTGTACCTTATGCAAATTTCCAATGGATATCTTTATTAATCACAAATTCTTATTAGTGATATATCCTTCTATGTATAGAAGTATAGATATTTTATTTGGAATAACATAAGAACACGAAGGACCAACAAACTCGATCTACCTTGTGATTTTCAATCAATGAAAAAATCTGACTTGTAGGCATTGCTTGGTTTTAATGAGAAGGACATCTCACGTGTTATTCAACACTTTCAACCAGGTATGAACGTGTTTTTTTTTTTATTCAAAAGCGATTAATAAATGTTCTTTCAAATGTGGAACCTATTGCTTGTAGCTGGCTTCCTGTTTAATTTTCTTCCAAGTTAGTCGAGTTGGAATTATTGGTAAATTATTTCTTAAAAATATTTCGCGCTTAAATTTTACTAGCTTACCTTTTGACAACATTTGCAGGATTTTGGCTGTTTTGTATGTGGTCTGGATGACGGTTTCCGGATTTATAACACCGATCCCTTGAAACAAAACTTTAACGAAAAACTGAATGGTGGTATTGGAGCAGTGGAGATGTTATTTCGTTGCAATTATGTAGCACTTGTTGGCGGCGGTGTAACACCTGCTTTTTCGACAAATAAAGGTCATTGCTATGTGCTTTTTAAAAACGTTCGAGAAAATTACTGTAGTTTTTGCGTAAGAGAAAGTAAATATCATATTCTAAACTTTGTGATAAATGAAATTGTTTGCAGTGGTAATTTGGGATATTATTAATCACAGAGAAGTGGTTCAGTTAGAAATGAATAGTGATGTACGAGCAGTACGTTTACGTCGTGATCGTATTGTAGTAGTCCTCGACACATCTGTTCACATTTTCAGGTTAGTTATCGACCGTTTTCCTAACGTTTGTAAGTATGGTATCCGAAGTAAAGAACAAGCAATATTTCTAAATTTTTAATGTCAGATATATTTCGGTTTTATTAATTTTAACTATGAGTTATTTACGCTGAAGGTATCAGTTTGTTTCATCAAAAATTGTGAAAAAGTCAGGAACATTCAATAAGACATTTTAGTTATTTGATTGAAGTGCTGACAGAAGTTCCGTGAAATTATGTGTTTTTCCTTCAGAAATTATCTCTAGTTTCCTTAGGGATAAATTGTTTCCGTTTTCTATTTCCTAAATGTTTTTAACAGATTAGTGGTTTATATTCGGAATATTTGTGTGTGTGAAACGTTTATAGCAAATTATTCATTGCGTTTTTTACAGTTTTACAGACAAACCTGAAAAATTGCAAGTCTATGATTCAAGCAGAAATCCACGTGGAATATGTTGTTTATGTCCAGCATCGGAAAATTCTCTTCTTGCTTTCCCTGCGCCTTCTTCATCATCGGCAGTTTGCTGTTTAACGTTGGCCGAACCAGATGCTCCACCCAGAATAATTAATGCCCATCAAAGACCACTATCTGCTATTGCACTTAATCTTACTGGTAAAGTATTATTTCGAAAAAAGAAATTTTATTTCTATATTGCCCTAGTAAACTTAAGAAATAAAAGACTGCCAATGCGATGAAATATGCGTTATAGGATATCCGGTAAGAATTGTGTTGTGATTAATTTTGGGAAATTTTACTCGAGTGGATTTTGCATATGTGCGCTTTTTTGTTCCAAGCATAATCTTAGCGACATTTTCCAGAAAACACATTATAATAAGAATTCGTAACATCAAAATTTGTCTTTTATTGAAAGAACGACAGGATGGACGAGTCCTATATATTTTGTTATTGTTTAAATTTTATGTTAGTGCAGGGGAGCAAAAAAATAGTTTTAACGAATTGTAGTATATTCTGCATTACAGGAGAACAAATAGCGACATCTTCTGAAAAAGGCACCATAATAAGAATTTTTGACACCAAAACTTGTCTTCTGTTGAAAGAACTAAGGCGTGGGACGAATCCTGCTTCTATATTTTGGTATTGCTTGAATTTTATGTTCAAGTTTTTATTTGGAAAACCTGTAAAATCTAGCAGGTCAATGAACTTATTTTTGTTTCTAGTATAAGTTTCTCAACGGATTCGACGATGCTGTGTGTATCCAGCAATCATCATACTATTCACTTGTTTTCTTTGGCTATGAAGAAGAAAAAAGTGTATGTTCTTGCAGTTAGTAATTTCTAGAAACTAATTTTTGTGCTTGTTTTTATAGACATTAGGCAAATGTATGTTTTAAATATAGCAACCTTTTCTGTTTCTATCTTCAAAAGTTCTTTCAGCGCGCTAAGGAAGCTGAGTTTTTCTGGTGAAGTTAGCGTCTCACGTTTTCGATTACCTTTTCCATTTAAAAACAAGGATTCCAGCATATGCGCTTTTGGGCCACAGCCTGACTCTGTTATTGGTTAGTAAGATCTTATTAAACTGCCAGGTTAAATGTTAGGGACTATTAAATTCAAAACAGTTCTGTATAATTTACAACTTTTCAGTGTAATTAGCTTCAGATATTTTAATAACATGAGGTCATTAAACATCTAAACTGGACTTTTGGATTTAGATTCTTTTTAAACAGCTGCATAAAGCCAGTGCATTTTCAGTGGTATCGTCCGATGGAAGCTACTGCAAATTCAATTTTTATTCAGAACGGAGTGAGTGCACACGACAAACTTGTTCACTCTATTTGGAAATAACCAATGATTCATAAGTCATGTTATATTTTTTTTTGTTTTTGTTTTCTACTGCTTGGTCTAGAATAACGAGAGCTCCAATAACTTATGAGCACTTAAATGTTGCAGCACTTTGATAAGATCTTGTTTCTTCTTTCTCCACATTAATGTCTTTCGTGTTTTCTCCCTTTTTTTGTTATATTTTGCTTGGTTTCGAAATTAATGTATTACTTTGTTTGTTGGTGGTGAAAGTAGGTTCTGAGTACCTAGTTTTACTAAACTTATTAACTTCATTGTTGTTTCGTATTACTGCTTTTCATCCATGTAGAATACTGTTTTCCCTTGACGTATATGTTACTACAGTGGAAATAAGTTTTGATGCATATGTTTGTCTGTCTGAATGCTTTCTTTCAATAATCTTTTAGATTCAGTACATACGTCTCGAACTATACACTTCTAGATCAAATTACACCTGGCATAATTTTGCGATGATTTATTCAAGTAATTTGCATTTTATTTGCTCTACTTTATCGAATTATCTTCATTTGATCATATGTTTATATTAAAAATGTCTGTTGCACTAATCTAAATCATTTTGACATCCATTTTTATTTGTAATAAGAAAGTTCATTTTACTGATGATATGAAGTTATCAGCTATAACAAATTGTTTTTGTCACTCTGTTATTTAGGATATTTCCAATTTTTCAAAAACAACTGCATAAAGGGAGTGGCAACTGCCAAGGTGAGGCTTTTTCAGGGTTTATTGTCAACTGATTTTGAGAAGAATTTTAGAGTCTACTGGTTTTGCAAGTCCAAATTGTAGTAAGATTAAGCTCAATTTTTTTCATTTCTGAAGATAAGTAACGGTGCATTTTCATCAGAACTACGAACGTCCTATCATTCACTGGAATATCTTGTGTCAAAAAAAAAAGAAAAATATTTTTAATAGCAACAAATTCAGGAAGGGTATACAGGTGGGGTGGGATAAGTTGCTATACGGTATTGCCTGCCCGCAAAATACTATACGGCCTGTGTAGCATAGATAAACATTAATTGGTGATGTGGTTTGTATTGGTGAGGGGGCTAACTTAGTGGATGAAGTTTTTGATACATTTGTAGTAACTACTGACGCTAATGTATTCCGTGAAATACGTTTGATGTTGAAGAATGCTATCGTTCATCACGTACCATTACATTTTGTACCGATACCTCTTATAGTACCTTGCGAATGAATGGTACTGTTGAAAAAGTAAAGTATTTAATGGAACCAGAATTTCTTTACATTTAACATAGTGATGACTTGAAATAATTTATTAAGACGAGTAATTTATTTCAAATTGTGTGTACCTGCATAGTTTGCACTTTGTCGATTACAGCAATTTTATTGGGGTTGCTAGGATTGTTTGCTTCATTAGGGAGCATCTGGGACGTACGTTGTTGATATCGATTAAATTTTCCCAATCCTACATCACAATGAGACATTCAAATTAGGTTTTTGTGGCTTTGAGTGAACTGCATGTTTGTTGAAGTTCTTAAGCTCTCATATAATTTAGTGTTATTTGTGCTTATAGTTTCTCCGTAGACTTATAGATTAGCTATTGAAAAAAAAAAATCATGACATTTTTATGCATCAAATTTTCGTGTCTTAGTTCTGACGTGATTTGGAACTGAAAGTTTTTAAAGTTGCAATAAGTATAAAACTCGCATTCTCTATTTTTGTCGTCTCATTTAATAGCCCGATTTATCAAGGTTATATGCATTTCTGTTGGAATTTGGTTTCTGGTTTCTTCTTTTATGAATTCAAAGAAAAAATATGTTGACGAACAAGTTTTTTAAAATTACTTTTCGTCTTTCGCGATATTTTATTTGTACGCGATGCATTTCACCTAATTAACACCATTACAGCAAGAACGATTATAGAGACGAACAAATTTTTTTAGGTATTTTGTATTTCATTTGTTCCTTGTGTATTTTTTTTTTTTTTGGCAGAGCGCGCTGTTCGACTAAGTGTTAATTGGTCGGGTTTTAATTTATCAGCTAAGAGCGCTGATGTTTCTTGCCATTTGGTTTGTTTTTTGTCTGCGCTATATCTGGTTCGATTTTTCAGATAGTGATGTCATTTTTAATCAGTTAGATCTTTTGATTACGTACTTCAGTTTTCTTATCGCTAAATTACAATGATATAAGGAAGTGATGAGGAGGACAAAAGTCCAGAATAGAAGCTGATGAATTGTTCATTATAACTAATGTTATTGCTCATATCTAGAGTGAATACAAGATTTCATGTGTCTTGCTTGTATAATATATACTGCTTATTGCTCATTTAGCACTTTATTCTTTTAATCAGTATTTTCGATCAAATTTTTTGCCAAGGAATATAAACACTTTAAGCTTGAATACTTCAAAGATTTCGTGGCAATAACTTGCAAATGCTTATTGAGAAGTATTGCAATGTAATAAACCTGGAAGCAGATTATTTTCATGAA